TTATGATCAAAAGACTAATCCTTTAGTAAAACAAGCTCATTCATTCATTGATCAGGTGGATAAACAAACAAGGATACTATTAATAAGTCTGAATTATGCTAAACTTAAACTAATGATTAATATTAATGGATAATAACATCAATTCAATACATGAATGATCATCACATACTAGCTTCCACATTAATTTACCTAATTTTCTATTTAACCCTCGATTTATGATCGAAACTCTAGTCTTATAACTTTGATGATCATAAATTTATAACATAGAAGCCTACCAAAACATAATGATCATCTAATTTCAGTAAAACTCAACAATAAACAGAAGAAGTGGTTATCATTAACACAAAAGGGTCTTTAACAAGCTATCATAACAAATAATCAACTAGCAACAATCCAAGTTCCAATCAATCAACACATAGTCATAATGATCCTCTACTCTAAACAGAAGTTAGAGTTTTTATCCCATAACTACTAGAAAAAAACAATCAAAAAAAGTTCACTTTGAAAAAACATAATGAAAAACAAAGTAAACAAAGTTATAGAAGTTACGTTGCCTTAAAATCTCTTCAAAAGTATACTTCAATCGAAATCATATCTCTCTCAGTCTTCCAACACGTCTCTGGTCTCCAAAAGTCGAAAGTAACTTGAAGCATAAGGTAGGTTTGAAGGCAGAACTGAAGTATTTGTAGTTTCCAAAAACTGGCTCCCACGCCGTTGCCGATAGGCTCCATGACATGACAGTCTTTAATGATGTGTATTCCCCAAGTCAGCTAATCTGATCGTGTATCTTCGTTTCACAACGGTGTGGCTATAGATGTCAACACCACGGGCTTCAGAATTCTTGAGTTCTTTTGACTTGGACGGACTTGATCTAATTTTCCCGCTTCCAGCTTTGCATTTAGCTCCCTTTTAATCCTGAGCATGTTTTCACTGCTACAAAAATAGATTTTGAACATATTAAGTACCTTTTGTCCTAAAATGAACATAATTATAGCTAAAAAATATTAAGATAAAGCACAAAATATATGAATAGATATGCAAATATCAGTCACCGTGATCGAACCACGTAAATATTGTGTCTTGTGTGCTTTTGGTTTTGCTAGTTATCCGCTTTATTTCCTAACACTTCACAACTATTTATATACAAGGATGAGACAACCTAAACTAAGAAAGAAATAATCTACTATAAGTACAAGATTAAATGACTAAAATACAACTAACATAACGGCTAATTAGAGAGCTAATTAAGGCTCATTAAGCTAATAGTTGTATGAGAGTGTAATATTTCCAAGGGCTGGCTCAACCTTGTAAAATTCTAAGTTGGGGCTTAGGGCCCCTAATTTTAAAGGGGCCCATATTTTCCAAACTAACCCAATATATCTTAAATCTCAATTACTGAATTAGTCCATTAGTAATTGTCTTATTTTCCGATAGGCCACAATTTTCAATTCAAATTGGCAATCAGAGTGAGCGACAGCGCGAAACACATGTGGTAGGAGCTAAGCTATCAATCGCGCGCTATAGCGTTTTGTGGAGGGCAAGAACCTATATTTTTAGTTTAGCGTTTTCGTTTCGCGGTACCGCTATTTACCGCTATTTCAATAACCTCTATAGCGGCGCTACGGGCGCTATTCCATTTTCGTTCACATTTTGGGCCATTTGGTTACATTGTCAATGAAAAACTGGTTTTAATGATCTCACCACATTTTCATTTTAAAAAGCCCGAACAACTAACATAATTAAAAGTATTCAAAGCAACTATGTCTACTGACAACTCTCTTTCTATACTCACGACGACTTGAATTGCTATGGTCGGACTCCATTAATGCAAATTAACCCACACCTATGAGGCTATGACTTGAGACTTAACTCCTTAAATCAACCACAACCTACTAATATGATATTGAACCCGTGTCATGCGATTAAATTCTATTTGACACTTTGACAATACCTAGTTTCCATATTACTATAATAGCATATTATGTTATGTTTTTATATGACTTTTTAGGTTTGATGATATTAATTCTATATAGACTTATAGTATTAACACTCAAATATATAAACTCTATAAAAATATAATATAAAATTATAAATTATATGTGATATTAAAAAACCGATATACCACTGCGATAACCGTGATCTCAAATAGCGGCATGTGATCGCTAGAAATTTTGACCGCGATAACTGAATAGGGTAGGAGATAGGGGTGCAATGATTTTGATTCTAAAAAACTGAAACAACATTTATCTTTTATTCTTCCTGCTCATTTCTAGATTGCTCAAATCCTCAACTATAATTGTATGTGTTTTCGGTTTTCCATTATCTATTACACTATTGGGGTTAGCTAATTAGGGTTGAAGGAGGAGGGTTTATAACATTAAGTATAGTAAAATATGAAAGGGCCCATATTTTTGGTTCTCTTACAGCCCTCAAACTGGATGAGCCGCCCTGTTTCCAACACTCTTGACACTCTACAATCCAGTGGCGGATATTAGTGTAACGCGGGGAGTCCCGGGCCACTGCTCTGATTCCGACAGGTAGTGTATTTTTTTCTATTAGGTGCACCGACTTAAAATACGAGTGTCACTACTAATTTAGATTTTTTCGGAAAATTTTTTGGGTGTCATCCCTATTAAAATATTATGCGTCCGCCATTGCTACCATTTGTACTAAATATGGGTCATGTCAATCTTTTTACGTAGTGGAGGGGTGGTGTTAGAACAAAAGCGTTTAATTCCTCGTGTGTGTGTGTGTATATATATATATATATATATATATATATAAACAAAACGTCATAATTTAAAGCGAACAACGGCAAAAAAATGTTTTAGACTTTTAGAATGAACGCACATGGAACAGATTATAACAAATCCCACTTCATTGGTTTTCGTTTAATTTTTTTATGCCATGTTTTTTATCGAAAAAAAGCCGAATATACCATTGTTCATAATTTTTCGTCTTCTTTCCATAGAAATCCATATTGATATACAAAAAATGATTTTTTTTTTCAAAAAAAACCCACTTCATTTTTTGTTTTTTGAAAAGTTAAGCTCTCTTTTTTTATTGAAAAAAATTAATAAATATATCAAAATTCATATTTTTTGGTACTCTTTAAACATATATTCATATTGATTTAAAAAAAATAATAATAAAAGAAAAAACGAAATTTTAGTTCAAATTCACATTGTGAATCTACTCAAATTCGCATTGTGAATCTGCTTAGATTTACAGTGTGAATAATAGTAAGTCAGATTCACATTATGAATTCTGAAAACTAAATTATATGCAGTTTAAATTCACAATGTGAATTAATCCATTAGTTGATTTTACAAAACTAATTTATTAGTAATCAAAACGTTAAAATATTATAAAATTATATTGAAATATATTTCGATTCATATATAAATTTCACTAAATTAATCTGTAAATGATAAAAGAGTTGAAATAATAAGTCAGATTCACATTGTGAATATTAAAATTGAAATATTTACAATTCAGATTCACAATGTAAATCTAAATTGATGGAGGTTTTTTTTAACTGATGTTTATGTATTAATAGAGGACAAAAAATTGAAATTTTTGGTATAGTTAGTTTTTTTGGATAAAAATAAACTTAAATATTGAAAAGAAAAACAAAAAACAAAAAAAAAATGAAGTGAGTTTTTTTTCGAAAAAAAATTTGTTTTTTATATATCAACATTAATCTCTATGGAAAGATGACGAAAAATCGTGAACAACGGTATATTTGTTTTTTTTTCAATAAAAAACATGACCTAAAAAATTTAAACCAATAAAAGAGATGAGTTTTTTTTTTGTAAATATTTGAGCTTTTTGGTATAATTCGGTGTATGTGCGTCAATTATACAAGTGTACATTCATTCCCTCCGCGGTTGATCATTATGATTTCCAACGCTCACGATTGGTTCAATTCTACATATCTTTCTACCCATTTGAAATAATGACAAGTGTATAATATTAAAATATCATTAATCTTATTCAAATATGACACATGTCACCATTTTACATGGATATGAAGATAAATAGGAAGAAAAATTAGAAAGATATTTAATTTCTCTTATTTATTGTTCTCGACCATTACATGTGTTGTAAACTTGATTATTACATTGGTCTTAAATTTGATATTGAACCTTTTATAACCAAAATAGTAAAATATTCAAAAGCAGTAAATAATTACGCAAGATTGTTCATAGTTGATATGTTGGAGTAAATATTTGAAGTTATATATGTGAGTGAATAACTTTAACTACTTTGTTGTTACTAAAATAATATATGATAAAACCACATTTATTACTTTGACTAAGCACATCCTACAGCACTGGGCTTGACCCATTCATTCAGCAATGGCCGTATAATTGTTTCTTTAGTTTAGCAATGATAAAGATCACATTTATTACTTTGACTAAGCACATCCTACACCACTGGGCAACACCCATTCGTTCAGCAATGGCCGTTATTGCTTCTTTAGTTTAGCCAAAACAAATCCATTAGTATCAAGCCTCAGATGGACCCCTTACAAAAATATCCTAAGCACTATATTTAAGGATAAAAAGATGCCATTAATTGTTCGTTGTCAATGACATAGTTCTAATAATTCGCAAGACATGCAAAATACTGAAGTTTTTCTAGAAATGTTTGATTTATCATTTTAACACAATAGAAGAGCTCATCATGATTCATGAAGCAAGAATCACTACGACTATTCACGCTTTTTAGTATTCACAATCACACTACATGAAAGGAAAAATCATCAGAAACCAAGAACCAACATCCATCAAACACATTCGAACAGAATAAATAAAGTATATTGATAATCTAAAAACTAATGACAATCATAATCTTCCTTACCCTGAAACTAACGAAAAGTTACAAAAGTAGTAATAATTAATACATAACATAGTCTAGTTGAAAAGATTACTGCTGCTCATAGTCTTGACCCGGGCCTATTTCTTTCAGAGTGGAGTTTGTTTTTGTTTGTTTGTTTAAGAAAGGGACTGATACGTTTTGAGGAGTGGAATGAGGGAGCCACTTAGGTGAAGGGACATCACCTCATTGGTGGACCCCACGAGCTTGCCGCCTATGTATACAGCTGGCACAGGGGATGAATTACAGCCTTGCTTCAGGAGAGCCTTCTCCATCTCCCTTCCTTGAGGATCTTTGTCTATTTCATAGACTATAGGATTCACCCTAAGTTCATGGAAGAGAATGGTAACAGCATAACACAAGCAACAAGTGCTCTTGGTGAAGATCACAACTCCATTCTCAGATGTCAATGCTTTTATCTTCTCCATCTCAACTGATCACTCAGATCAAAATCCAATTCAGACTGTGATCGAATTGGTTGGGAGTTAGTAATAGGAAAGAAGAGAGAGATGATGAGATTTGGTTGAAGCTCTAGGTTTCGTGCCACTTCTATTTATATGAAACCTTGAAAGCTGGGTTGGGGCCTGTGGGTGCTTTACTTAGATGCTTGAAGACTAATAAAGGTGTCTTTGAAAGATGGATACTCTTTTTGTGCCCAAAACGGTGGAACAACTTGAGCACATATATTCTTCTTGCAAACAAATTACAACCATATGATACATCGATTAAATGTTTCGAATCATGATTAAGTGGCTAATTAACATGTTTGTTTGACGTGGGCAAGCTTAAGACCGTGGGTTAGAGACTACTCCACATCCTAGGGGCGTGAGTACTGAGCAGTACACGAAAAAAGCTTAAAGTTGAAAAGGGCCGGTCAATATTGTTTCAAACAGATTCTTTCCTATATATTCTCAGGGTAAAAGGATTGGGAATGAGATTGCATTTTGGTGGGCTATGATATTCTTCTTTATATTGCCACCAACGTCCTTACATTCATTCAAACATGCGAATCTTGTTTATTCACATAGTTTCAAGCTCAGTGAGTCTGAACTCAGTTGAAGTACTAAAAATGCATTTTAAGAAAACCAAATTAAAAACAAATATTTCATTACTTTGTACTTCCTTATTGAACTATTAAGAGGAGTCGACATATCTAGGCAAGCAGTTGGGCAACCCCTGGAAACGTTTCCTGTACTAGTTAATATTCGACCCTCTCTCCTAGTCTAAAATTGTACTAGCAAAGATCACATACTTGTGCACACAAAAGGCACCTGTACATGTTCGCTTTTCAATATGTGGTGCTAGCAACCACTTATGCAAATTTTCATGGGGAAGATCAATCAACAATAACATGTAGACGCTTAAGTTTTGTTCATAATACAGAGATATTATAAATCTGCCACTAAACTTCAAATATGCAAGCAAAAAGAAATATAGAAAGCCATGATGATCTTCAAAGTACCAACTTAACTAGGATTGAAATGATGAGCTACACATTCTTAGTAATCATAGATCTGGAAACATGATCAGTTCCGAAAGTTGATGTTGTGGAAAACAAGAGTTGCTCACTTGTCATGTTGGACAAGAGGGATAAGCTCTCAGTAAAAACATGTCTAATCATTAATCTTTTTTTCTTCTATATTCTGCTTGTCCTGTACATCTGAATATTCTAAAGTTGTAGCACTTATAACTCTTCTCTATGACACTTGACTCGCTACAATGTGTGATCAGTTGTGGTAGTGAAGATTGACAACTGAAATAAGGGAAATATGCATAAAAGTTCCTATATTTTGGCTCTATTGACAAAAAAAGTCACCCCTAATTTACTTTTTTATTTTTATTTTTTTAATTTAACCATTGGAACTGGGCTATTATTTGCAATTCGACTAAATTTTCAGGTGACCGCATACAATAGCAGGTTTCGATGGTTAAATTGTAAACAAAATATCAATGGTGACTTTTTTATCAATAGGCCAAAATATAGATATATTTTTTTTCAATGCATCATAATTTTAGCCTCAAAGCTTATCTATCTATCTATTTATATCTATATCTATATCAATATTTATATCTATATATCTTATAATAGAGACATATTTTCAAACACTACATTCATTGTAACTTATGGTTATTAATTAGCAATGACTAATGACCTTTTATTTTCCTCTCATTTAACACTTTGTAACTTATATTAGTAGTATATAAGTAAATTTTGCTCATATAAAACATTCATATGTTTCCATGGTGGTAGAGAAATTGTAGAGAAAAAAAAAAGATTTGAGAATGTGGAGCTCTATTTTGGGAATTTTCAATTTCTAACTAATTGGCTATTTCTTTACATTGTAAGCTTATCTACTAATTTTCTAGGATGTGAAGAATGCTATATAGAAAAAAAATTTGAGAATATGAAACTCTACTTTGGAAATTTTCAACTTCCAACTAACTGTTATTTCTTTACATTGTAAGCTTATTTACTAAGTTTAATATTAGTAGCAATATATATTACATGTATCGATGGTGTTTCATTTTATTTATATTATCTATTGTCTATATATGTTATTAGATATGTCGTTGATGTTGGTTGTACTACTGTGTTGCAAACATTACAAAGATATTGAAACTAGATATATAATTGACTTCAAAAATAAGATTAAGATATTTTGTTAACGTTTTGTGACTTTATTGTTGATGCATAATATATATTATGATGATGATTTATACTCTAATTTCATTTAAATTATATCCAAAATATGTTGGTTCATATTTCATTTGTAAATATTTTTTTCCATTTTAAATCTCAAAAAGACTTATAGACAAAATGACTTACTGACTTAAAGTGGTGAGAAAAAAAAATTCAAAAAGTGTTTGGATTAGCTTTTGTAGTGGGAAAAGTCAATAAGTCAATAAATTGTTTTTTAAAAAGTATTTGTCTTAACCTATACATGTTTTAAGAGGGTATTTGACTTTTACAACCCAAAAAGTTATAAAAAGTTTTGAAAAGTTAGAAATCTTAATTTATTGAAGAGTTAACAAGAAGTTATTTTAAAAGTCATTTTCAAATTACCAAACACTTTTTTAACTTATTGAATTTTCAAAAATTCAATAAGTCAATAAGTTGTTTTAAATGAAATCTCAAACACCTTCTAAGTTATAATCTATTTTTGTTGAAACAACTATTACAATTTGTTTATGATAATAAATAAATATAATTTTTTAATTATACTTCTATTTAATAAAATATAAAAACTGATTAAAACATAAAAATATATTGTCACTTTTTGATGATTAAACACTTTTTGATGATTAAACTAAATAAAAATATGATACGAAATATACATCCATATACTAAGTACTTGGTTGAAAACGATGCATGTAATTCATTCATCAATAGATAAAGAAGATGTAAAACAGTCTTGTCTGCATGACATAGAAGCTCTATTCTTGCGATAATCATGTTTTTGATACACACCAACCTACATGAAGATTTTTCAACCAAGTACCTGGTATATTGATGTTTTTTTTTTTATTATCAAATTTTGATTTAGTTCCATCATAAAAAACTAACAATACATTTCATAACAATATATTTTCACATTTTAATCGACTTTTATATTTTATTAAACATAATTATAATTAATCAAACATATTGTAATAGTTGTTTCAGCAAAAATAGATTATAATTTAATTGTAGAATAGATAACTACACTTGAGGATAAAAATTATTATGCACTGAAACAGTACTTATATTTTGGCCTATTGACAAAAAAGACATTGATATTTTGTTTACAATGTAACCATCAAAATATGTTATTGTATGTGGTTACCTGAAAACTGAGCTCAATTGCAAATAATAGCCGGTTCTAATGGTTAAACTGCAAAAATAAAAAAAATAATAATAAATTTAAAATTTTTAAAAAAAAACACTAAACTACACGAATGGCCCCTCTGGTTAGCTGAAAATTGCCACTTTGGTCAAAAAAAAGTTTGGACTAGCACCAGAGGTTCAAACTTTTCATTTGGTTGCGAGTTTGGTCCAATTTTGTTTGAACTTTTTTATAAAGACGATTTTGCCCCTTATTATTGTAATATCCATAAAATTCAAGCCAATATAAAAATTTTTAAAACATTCAAAACCAATAATTATTACAAATTAATTTCAAAATAGTTTCATGTCAGAGTATCCCAGAAATCAAATCATAAAAACATACAGAGGTGCACGATCATGCCTTCGCATTTCCACGGTCATCTGAGGTACCTGAAACAAAATCAACAACTGTAAGCCCGAAGCTTAGTGAGTTCTCCCAAAATACCCACACAACATATAACAAATACAATAACAGCATACTATGGGCCCAATCAACCATCGGGTTGGAATGCCCCAGGCCCTCAACCATCGAGTTGGAATGCCAACATACTATGGGTCCAATCATCCTCGAGATGGTATACCCTCGGCCCACAACCATCGGATTGGAATGCACACATACTAAGAGTCCAATCATCCTCAGGATGGAATACTCTCAGCCCACAACCATCGGGTTGGAATGCCCAGGTCTGTTGGCTCATGCACAAGCAAATGCCTCAACCACCAATCAAACATGTGCACAAATATCAAATAATCACATAGCAGTCTACAGACAGTCAAGCTGATCTACAGATCACTAAGCATAACAACATCCTATCTACCAGGATATCGATCTAACATATCCTAATCTCATAGAAACATCCTATCTACTAGGATACCGATCTAACAGATCATAACAATCCAAAGGGTCGGCCTTGGTGCCTTAGACCCTTGAGTATGGTGAGGAAAACTCATCTCACAAGTAGCGCTGGATGATAATGTCAAACTCCCAAACACAGCTCCAAACTCAGACACCTATAATTAGCACATGACCAATTCTATAAAACCCAAATTACTAAAATACCCCTGAAGTCAAACTTGGTCAACCTTGGTCAAAGTCAACAGTCCAGGTCAACAGTCTTTGTTGACCCAACTCGTCGAGTGCATCAGGCAACTCGTCAAGTTCCTATAGAACTCAGAGACCAAAAACCCGAGCCAACTCACCGAGTTTCCCAACAACTCATCGAGTTGATGCAGTGTCCAAAAGACGAGTAAACCCTAATCAACTCCTCGAGTTATATCCCTAACTCGCCGAGTTCATGTAGAATCCGGGAAACCCTCATCTAACTCGTCGAGTCGACTATGCAACTCGTCGAGTTCCTTTAGTCCTTTTCTCATTCAGACACTTTTAAGCTAAACCAAGGCTCCAAACTGTAGATCTAGCCTCCTAGGGTATAGTTACCATGCAAACTTGCTAACTTTACGTGCATGCAAGGCTTCAAGAAGCTAAAACACTCAAACTAGCCTTAGGAAGAGGTTTTGGACATGGAAAAGGGCCAGAGCTTCATAAAGCTTGAGGCTTTATGT